TTGGGGGGGGGGGGGGGGAGGGGGGGCTGCAAAGACTAGTGAGCAATAGTATAAAGTCAATGTGACATAATGATGTGGAGAAGTGATCATGGAAATTTGAGAGAAATAAAACTCTCATTTCATTGAAAGAGGAATAAATGCATCAATGAACGATGAGGAATCCAACGAGAAAACAAAAAAAAAGCAACGAAAACCAAAATAGAACAAACAAAATAAAAAAACTAGCAACTACAAACTACTTTCCAACTGTATTGGACTGCTGATAACGTAGTTCCATAAAACTCCTTTGTGACCACAGCCCATAAAGAAGCCACAAACTTGACCCCCTATCCCATGGCAATTCTTTTCCCTCCTTTCTTTCAAAAATTCTGTGAAAGGCTTTTTGGCAACTAATAAACAATTCGTAGAGTTAAATAACTATGCCTCAACCAAAATTTGTAGCAAGAATTTGCAATCAGTACCGTCGTACTCAAATCAGCGCAATATAGATTGGTAGTTAATTATACACTACCACACAAGGATCCAAGCTTGCCATATGTGTTGATTTCCAGCAAATGTCATATAGTCACCAATACTCACCCATACACAATTAACAGAGATCATAAAAATATACAAAATGAACAAAATATGATAAATAAACAACATTTTAGACAATGCAGCTAAACGGTGCTCCAACAAGACAGTGTGTCCCTTGAATCCTACATGTTCATCACCGTGAAGGCACAAGCTTGCGCACAACACCATAATCAAACACATTAGTCAAGGCATCAAGAGACAGCCACATGACAAACATGTGTCAACATACAAATCCAATCCCATCTCTCACCAAATTCACATAAATCTTTCCAGCATTAGATAAAGCATCGAACTCATAAATCATACATATAGCCAAGCTCTTTCTATGTAGTTACCAAATGGCACAGGATACTTAATCTCAGCATACAATCAAATGCTAGATATGTTGTGCAAAGAAAAACATAAAGCCATTGCTCTAAAGACCCAATTACCATAAATTCAGACATAACACAAAGATCAAATTTAGTACAATTTACAACTCATAATTTTGTAGAATTTAAGCCATAGTAGGAACCCAGATAACAATATATATATATATCACACAAAAGGTTTTCCAAGTCCATCAAACTAAATTTCAATTACCCACGCGCCTTGAGCTCGGCAAGACGCCTCGAGAGGTCGTCCTCGTCGACCTTCTCGGTGTTCTTTGCCGCCACCGCGTGCGCTGCCGGCTGCGGAAGCCCCACTGACACCTCCAATCCATAATCATCGGCCACCTGCTGCATCAAGCTGTTGACTTCACCCTCAGGTGTGGAAAGCGAAGTGCTTCCAGCCATGGAACTCTCCATGAACTCCGCCTGGACCTCCATATTCACAAACTGTTTCTCAAATTGATCCATCGTCTCAGACATCTTCTGTAAATTACCGGTGGCAAGCGTAGATTCCAGAGATTTCACGATTGACGACATGGACTTGCTGATCGTGGTCATCTTGGCCTGGGTCTCGAGCCTAGCGACCACGGCGTCGAGGCGCGAGGCCAATCTGAGATAATTCATCTGCTCGGTGCGTTTGCGGATGGCGTTTTCGGCGTAGATTCGACCGCCGTCCATGTTCCCTTTCTCGATTGCTTTCTTGACCTTGAGTTTCTCGGATTTCTCGTCTTTCTCGCACTTTCGTGCTTGGCGTTGGAGGCTCTTGGCCGTAAACTTCAGATCCATAATCTGGTTCAGCAATTTCTCTGTGTTCCCCATGTTTCCGATCTAGATCAAGCTCTACGGTTTAGAGCGAGAGAGAAAGATGATGATGATGAGGGTTTTGCGAGAGATTTCGATTTGAGGATCGAATGGATGGCTCTTCGACTTGTGTGTGAATTGTTAGTGTTTGGTCCGAGAGAAACTTCGTCCCTGGTTTAGGAAAGGGATATTAGCGCTCACTTTTGGGAGTTTTGATCGTATGTGGTCGAAAACGATTAGGGCAAATTACACTTTCTACCCAGAAAGAGTTTTATAAAAAAATTATATTTGTAAGATTAAATTTTTCACTTTTTAGTCTTAATTTATATTTATACTACTTATAAATATTAGCATTTGTAAAAAAAAAAATTAATTTTTTTATTTTATCCTTAATTATTATAATAAAATCAATTAGAACCACCTGTACACTTTTATTTAATTTTTATTTTTTACTCATATTTAACATTTAACTTATTGTGAACTCTTTTATAAAAATTTCTAAATTTTTTTGAACTCATTTATTAGTAGTATAGTTATATATAATTTTATATATATATATGAAAAAATAAAATCTTATATATATATTAAATTATTATACACATGAAGTTAAAATTTCACAATTAAATATGTGTTATATTTTATTTTTTGGTGTGTAATAATATTATAAGTGATTTAATCAATTTATTTAACAAAATAAAAAAATAATTCTATAATATAAATAACCGATTAAGTACTCAAAAACTTATATAATAAATTAAAAATTTTTTATTTAAATTTATATACATGTCACATTGCTAGTATATTTAAAGTGGTGCAATGTGGTCCTATGGTTAACTTTTTTTGCCCATTCCATAAATATTAATGGGGAATTTTTTATGGAATGAGTGATCAAAACTAAATGTTGAACCGCATTGCAGAGAAAATATTCAATGCAATGGTTATACCATGTCAATATTAATGACATAGTATCACCAATTAATAATAAAGTTTCAAATAGACAAAATGAACCCCACTTAGATAGTTATTGGGTTACGTGTAAGAATATGCTTTAATTATTGGCTTACATAGACAGGTACCTATTGACTAGTGTGAGGTTCGTTTTCCTATTTATTTACACATTATTGATTGATAATACCACGTAATAATGTTGACGTTATTTTTTCAACATTGCGATACTCTGCACTTGGAACGAGTTTAATTGCGATTCAGTTAAGAAAGCGAATGGTAATTACTGGATTATAAAATATCCATTGCCGAAAATTCAAATTGGATCTCCTTCTGTATCTCACAGCAGTAGTTAGTTCAGGCCTTCATTTGCCAGCCTCACAGATAATTTCATTACTCTCGGGAGAAATATCACGCCCCTCATTACAAGCTTGTACTCATGTGTCTATTAGTGCATTCCTATTGTATTAAGTCCATATCATTTGTATAATTAGATATTTCTCTCTTTGTTCCTAAATATCTATTATTTTACACAATTTTTTTTATTTCACAATATCTATTGTTTAATGAAACTATAGTATAATTAATATTTTTTCTTCCAAATTTACCCTTAACTTTTCAATGCATTAAATTTGATGGAGGCTAAGTGCTTTTCATATTCCTTTCCTTCCAAATACGTATTGAATAAGGGTATTTTAGTCTTGTGCAATTATTTTTTACTCATATTAGAGCTATTTAATAGATTCATTAATTCTTGTGTAAAAATCTTAAATGACATATATTTAGGAACAGAGAAAGTATCACCTAAATCAATTCCATCCGATCATAATTCAATTGGTATATCTCATGTAATAAATGGGATTGATTTCTAATTATACAAGATTTACAAATGAGAAGATTATCAATTAAATTATCGATAATATATCATTTATCTACATGATATACAAATTAAATTATTGACGGAATATCCTATGGATGGGAATGCATTTGATTGTAATTTTTGTATTGTTCACTAGAATAGTTCTCTCATTATCCACATGTTCTTTCTCTTATATATATATATATATATGATAATACATCATCCCTAAAGGGTAAGAGATTCCATCATTTTTCAAGGTATCAGCGCTTCCCAAAGACCCTCTTAATCAATTTTTTTTTCAGTCATTCATCGTCATGTCCTCCACCACCATTGTTTCTTCTTCTTCTACTGCAATATTTCTTCCATGGAAACTACTACCTTGCCCTCTTCCTCTCCATCTCTCTATCTAACTCACTCAATCTCCAACATTAAGAAATTACATTTCCATTTTGTTGGATTTTTCCAATTACCTTCTTTGGCGTGAATTTTTTCTGCCCGTTCTCAAGAGTCATGATGTCTACGGCCATGTCGATGGTTACCGATGCTTCTGGTAACCAAGTTCCCATTTCGGCATACAAATTTTGGTTGTAGGTTGATTATATGGTTTCTCTCTTGGATCCAATCCATTGTTTCTTCTGACATTCTCCATGCCATCATCAATCCAAATTCTATTACTTCTTCCCGCGAGGCTTGGCTCACCATTGAGCAACTATTTCATGATCAGGTTAATTGTCGAGTTTTGCAACTGAATGCAATTTTATCATCATCCAAAAGGTAATCTCATCATGACTGTTTATCTTCAGCAACTGAAATCCATTGTTGATTCCCTTGCTTCCGTTGGTAATCATATTTTTTACACTGATCTTGTTATACAAGCCTCGTCAATCTTCCTTTTGATTATGAAAGTGATGTGACCGTCATCTCCACTCGCATCTCTTTCCTTCATTTGTCGAAGATCGATCTCTTCTTTTCTCTTCATACATGAGATTCAACTACAACAGAAGGCGAAGAACACCATCTCTCCCTCATCTACTGCCTTTGTTGTCAATCGTGGAGCTAACAATTCGGGTTCTCGCGACGGTAGGGGTTGTGGTCGATCTCATTCTCATAATGATCATCGTAGTAATCATTCATCTTCATGTGGTCGTGGCAAAAATGGTTCCACTAGACATAGCGAATATCATAATTCCTATTTTTCCAATTCCCAATCTTTTTCTTATCACAACTCTCAAAAAAGTCATGGTTCTTCGATTTTGGGTTCTCGGCCTTCGTTCCCACCACCAACGTACCACCCTCATTTTTCTCCAAATTATCCACCTCTACAATGTTAGTTGTGTTTCAAGTTCTATTACTCGACTTCAAAATGCCCACAAAATTTCAAAGCCTTTATGGCCGACACCAACTCCTCCTCTTTTCCCACTTTTTCCATGCATGAGTCGTTTGATCCGAATTGGAAGCCGGATACTGGTACTTCATCCCATATGATGCCTCATACATATACTTTATCTTCTTGTACACTGGTTTTGATAATGTGCAAGTTAGTAATGGTCACCTTTTACCCATTACTCACACTGGTCATTCATCCATTCACTCCCATAACTCTTCTTTTGATCTCCGTAATGTTTTTGTTGTTCTAGAAATTCAGAAAAAATCTTCTTTCTGTAAAACAATTTACCTTTGACGATAATTGTAGTATTCATTTTGATCTTTTTAGTTTTTCTATCAAGGACCTCCGGACGTAGAGGGTAATTCTTAGTTGCAATAGTTCTGGACCACTTTATCCTATTAATCCTTCTATAGTTCGTGTTGAATCCCTGGTGTCGTCCTTTACTGGGTCTCGGGTGTCTCCTCAAATTTGGCATAAGCATCTGGGTCATCTGGGTTCTAAGATTTTGTCTTTTCTTTTAAATAATGGCTTGTTACCTTCTTCACGTAATCTTATTGCTTGGATTATTTGTCAGGCTTGTCATTTGGAAAAACATGTAAGATTGTCATTTAATGAATTTCATGTTCGACTAATCCGACATGACTCGGGACCTGAAATTTACACGGNAAACATGTAAGATTGTCATTTAATGAATTTCATGTTCGACTAATCCGACATGACTCGTGACCTGAAATTTACACGGATCNTAATCTTATTGCTTGGATTATTTGTCAGGCTTGTCATTTGGAAAAACATGTAAGATTGTCATTTAATGAATTTCATGTTCGACTAATCCGACATGACTCGGGACCTGAAATTTACACGGATCGTCTTCGAGTCGAGTCACATGACCCAACCCACCGAACATTACCTAACACGCCTAATTAATTTAGAAATATCTTAAAACAATACAAATATTCAAAGCATTACAAATCTCAAACCCATTAACTTCATTACAATTCATCAACTTCAAAGCAAAATAGAGGGCCTGATTCGCCTGAACATGTGCTACGAAAAAAAAAAATTTGTGTTGCAAAAAATTTTAATCTACAACTCTAAAGAAAACAAAATGAAGGGACAACCATCCATACAACCAACTTAATGTGTAACATTCATACCAGAAGAAAAAGACAAAAAAATACAAAAATACGGTAGGGTTATAATTTAATTTCTTCATATAAAATATAATTTCTAAAAGAAACAAATATAAAATAACCCTAACTTAGTTTTAGGTGTGTAAGTGGAGAGAGAGAGAGATCTACGATGGAATGAACATCGTCTTGGTCTTGTTTGAAAGTGAAAGATTCAGAGTAGAGAGAGAAAGAGAGAGCTGAGAGTGAAATACTGAAATTTCCTTATTTACTTGGACAATCGAGTTATATCTAGCGGTGATGCCTGGTGGGGAGTGATTCACAATGGTTTATGGTAGCGGTGATGACTGGTGGTGAGTGATTTGTAGTGGTGGTCACCAACAGTGAGAGATTCCAAGCCAATAGGTAAGGGAGGGAGACCTACAGAGGGAGCAGAGATGCGGGCATCTGAAGTGAAAATGGGAACTTGTGAAGTGAAAATGTGAAGTTAGGGTTAGGATAAAAAAACTTTTTTTATACAGTGTCGGGTGAATTTCGGGTCCAAACCGGTTAAGTGGGTGGGTTTGTGTCAACTCGATTAAATACACCAGTAATGTTACATTGATTAAATTTTGAGACTAAATTTAGAGTTCAAATGACATGACAACATATTATTTAGAATCTTTATTTGAGCCCAAATGACATGACATCAAATAAAAAAGTGCATGACAGCTGTCATGTCATTTAAACTCTAAATTTAACTAAAATTTGGTCAGTATAACATTACTTAGTCAATCGAGTCAATTTCAAGTTGAAGGGATTGAATTCGAATACAACTCATTAATACTTCGTGTTATGAGTCATGTCATAAACAGGTTTGTGCCAAAAAATAATCAACCTAAACTTA